TTTTTTTTTTTTTTTTTTTTGTTCTTTTTTCGGGGGTTTAAGGTTTGGGGTTGACGCCCGAGGAGTTTGGTAATTTGTTAGATGCCGGAAGGGGGTCATGAATTATCGAGGCATGTAAATGGTAGTTTCCAACCATGAGCCAGCCCAGCATAGACCCTACAGTTCCACAATCGTATTATCCTTACCATGGTAGGCCCCAAAAAGCGACCCCCAATTATTAAGAAGCCTCAGATCTTAGTAGCCTGGAGGGTGAGTCACGGAAAGTGCGGCGACGTTGACCTGCTGCGACCTGAATGCCTCTGCAGGCAGTGCAGCTGGAGGTCCCGGATAGTCCTTCCCTCTTCTTCTTCAGAGGGGCCGTAGCACAACGACAACGAGCAAACCCTATGACCCTGGGCCTTAAACCCTAAGCCTTATAAGACCTAAGCCCTAAGCCCTACAACCCCTGTAAGCCCTAAGCCTGAAGTTCTAGCCCAAAGCCTGGAACCCCAAACCCTTAATCAGAATAAGCCCGAGCCCTAAGCCTTAAATCCTAAGCCCTACAAGCCCTTCAAGCCATAAACCCCAAAACCTAGACTGTAATTCCTGAACCCCTAAACCCCCTAAACCCCCTAAACCCCCCCAACCCCCCAAACCCCCTAAACCCCCTAAACCACCAAGGCCAAGCCTTGCCCCCAAAGAACTTCCAGGTGTCCAAGCCACCCAAAGGTCTCTTGCATCGCGCCTTGGGACGTCGAGGCCAGCAAGCAGGTTTGGGTCGCTCTGAGGGGTTTAGGGTTTGGAGGCTCTGTTAAGGAGATATTCTGATATGTAAGGAGCTAGAATGGGGAAAAAAGTTTAGGGATTATGTAAGACGACTAGGGGTTCGGTTGCCATCCCCTTGAGTCCCTTTATCTGGGACAGAGGGACCTAACGGGAGATACCCTAAACCCTAAGCCGTATTCCAGGCAGATATAGGGAGGTGAAGGGGGATTTTGGAACCAGTTCCTTTGGATGTGGAATGTGGGGGTACGCAGGGACATATTATGTTTTAAGAGCTACTGACGATATTAGCCTTATTAAGGAGCCCTTAACAGTGGAGGTAGGTATCCCTCTTGTGGTTTAGCATAGTCCCTAATATACTCCCTAGTATGGAATCCATGTCCATTAGTTTCTGGGTAAATCTTGACTGTTGCATATATAGGGTTCAGGGGTTTACGGCCCTTAGTGGCAGAACTATACATGTAAATCCCATAGTTATCTCTTATGATATTCAGACCCCAACATAGACCCCACAATTTTACCATTGAGTATAATTCGTTTTCCTATGAGGGCCACCCCAAGAGAGACCCCTAGTTTTCGGAAACCTCCATATGAGGTACAATATCCAGCCTTTTGGGCAGGACACTTTTAGGGTCATTCTGAGTGGCGGCCCAACCCCTGTAAGCCGTGTGCTTTTTGAGCGTTTAGGGTTTAGGTTTTGGGATTTCGGGTGTTTGGGGGATAGATATATGTATATCTAAGCCCAAAACGGAGAATCACAGGGAAAAGACACTGGAATATTTAATGGGCACAGGGACTTTATGGTAATTTCAAGCGATTGGGATTTCCATAAATTACGGGCCCAGTTTTGGGGGGCCCCAGTAGACAGTATGTTACCCCCGTTTTTTTTTGCACTCCGGAGTGGAGGTGGTTGGCGGCAGCCGTTGCAGCAGCTGACCGACTGGAGGAACGCAGCATGGGGTGTACGTGGAAGATCCTGGGGAGGTAGAAGTATATCTGTACGCGGTTTAGGGTTTAGGGTCCCCATCACTCATGTAGTAACCCGAGTTATCCTTGCTGCCAACCTACTTGCTAAGTCCCCGTGGCGAGATGGGAAAGGTTGAGTGCTTGTCTTTTTGGAGTCAAGGATGATCCTCCTGAAGGAAGCGTCATAGTACAGCCGGTATAGGCAATTTGACAGACTCTCTCTTTCTGAGCTGCAAGCTTCTAGCTTTTCATTGAACTTTTCATACCTGATTCTGAAGCAAGCTCATCTTCCCAAATAGGAGCCCATGTGAGCAGTTTGCCGGAGATAGTTTTCGCAACAACACCACTCAACAGGACCACCTTACCTGCCAGATATGCTTCTCAAGCTCAGCATACGACTAATATAGAAGCTGGAATTATGACCAAGATTATTCCCTAGCCAACCATCCCACATACTTCCAGTCGTGCAATGTACCCCTAGCCCTTTTGTAATTGTTCAAGCCCCTGTGCCCTGAAATTCCCACACTTCCCAAACCCCAAGCTCAAGATGTCAAATTGGGCCTTTCCAAAAGTAGGGGTCTTCCTCGTATAAGGCCAGAGCAGAGTGCTTGCAGAAGGTATCCCATGCGCCAGCACCGCGTATCCTAGTATACATATGAGTTGTTTTCAAAATTCTGGGTCCCTTCTGGTTGTAGATTATATCACCGCACCGAATACTTAGCGGTACCCGAAATGGGACCCCAGTTTGGGTCGCCTAAACCCTAAACCCTACACCAAAAACTCTAGACCATGTATCGTCTCTCTGTCTCGCTCTGTCTAACTCCAAGCCTTGGGCCTCCAAACCTTGCTTCACGCGGTTTAGGGTTAAGGGCTTTGGGTTTGGCATATACCCCAAGGGCCTCTGGGAAACTCTAGAACCCGGACAACCCTAAATCCCTAAACCCTTAGCCCAAACCCGCCGAAACCCTAAACCCTAACCCGGGAGGATCCGGAAAGCAGACTCCCGTTCAGGTTTCCGAGACATCACCCAACAGGCATATAGGGTGCCAGATTGAATTCTAGCCTATATATCTCCCCAGGGTCTAGGCACTGTTGAGCTCTAAGCCCTGAACCCAAACCCTACAACACCCTAAACCCCTAAGCCCTATAACCCCTAAACTTCAAAACCCTAAGCCCCCAAACCCCTGAAGCCTGTATCCCTTAAACCCTACAACTCCTACAGATTTGGCCCAAGACATCGGCCTTCGCTTCCCGGCGCCATGGCCTCGCGCGCCATGGCCGAGCGGCCAGCGGAGATCCAGGCTTGCTAGTGTTTTAGGGTTCAGGGTTTAGGGTTCAGGGTTTAGGGTTTGGGGTTTTAGGGTTCAGGGTTTAAGGTTTGGGGTTTTAGGGTTCAG